TTTGATCAAGGTTAAAATAGATATGTTATCTCTGGTAACCCTTAATGGACTTTTGCTGACTAGATGAACTTCTGGCCTAATCCAACATGGCTCAGACTGTTTGTGTTTACTTGCTTTCTAGAGGCAGCTCTCACTTCTGTCCTAGAAAGGCAAAAGAGATCATTTGTTGTATTTTAAGAGAAGGTGATAAATTACTAAAATTGTTTATACTTGTGATGAAGGAGGAAGTCACTTTATTTCTTTTTTTTTCTTTACTATATTTTCATATTTTCTTTTTCTATTTTTCTATTTTTTGTCATTTTAGTGGCCGTCACCATATCTTGCAATAATGAATTCCACAGGTTAATTATACAAATGAGTCCATTGTCTGTGTTAAATCTCCTTCCCATCAGTTTCATTCAATGGTTCCAATCCTGGTATTTTAGAGAGAAAAAGTCCCTGTCTACTTTTCCCAATCCTTTGCATGATTTTATCCAAGCTAAAGAATCCTAAACATTCTAGCCTTTTCTTGTAGGGGGAATGTTTGAGCCCCTAATCATTTTGGTTGCTCTCATCAGCACTTTTTACAGTTCTGTTATATTCTTTTTCAAGCACAGCAACCAGAACTGTACCATATTCAACATGCAGACACTCTACACATTTGTATTATAGTGTTACAATGGTGACATTTTAATATCTCTTTCCTAATGACTGTATTCCCTGCTGTATGAGCACTTCACAACCGCTTTCAGTTTGGACAACCCTGAATATTTTAATGTCATCCTCAAATTAGGCCTGCTCACCTCTTATTCCAAGCTAAAATTGGTTATGAACAAGTTACAAAGCACTGGCCCCAACAAAAATCTTCAGAGTACTCCATTTTTACTTTCTTCCATTCAGAAAACTGACATTTATTCTTCCTCTTTGACTTCTGCCTTTTAACCAGTCAGCAATCCATACAAAAGAGCCCGTTTCGTGCAGCAGTTAAGGCACCAGGCTAGAAACCAAGAAACTGTGGGTTCTAGTTCTGCATTAGCACGAAGCCAGCTAGGTAACCTTGGGCCGGTCACACTTTCTCAGCCCTAGGAAGGAGAAGGCAATGGCAAACCGCTTCTGAAGTCCTGCCAAGAAATCTGCAGAGACTTGTTCAGGCAGTTGCCAGGAGTCAACACTAACTCAAAGGGAAGAAAGGGAAGGGAAGGGATGCTCCAGTTGACATCTTCTAAGGTTACACTGCTTATTGCACAATAACAGCTGCTACTAGGTTTCAGCTACTACAAATTAGAAAAACTAATATGCCACTGTTCAAGTGTCACAATTTTTTTTTTTTGGCTGTGATTGCAGCAACTGAAAAGTGGCGGGAAAGAATCAAAATGCAGTGTACCCAAAGGCAAGAAATAGAGTTGTTATAATTCAGTCAGAAGCCTGAATCGCACCACCCGCAAACCCAATAATATGATTTCCTTAGTTTTGTTACAGCATGCAGCATCAATATAACCACTTTAGCTACAGCAGGGGGCAGACCTTAGCTGACCTCTCCCCACCAAAAGCTAAATAGATCAACCCCCCTTAGTGCTTGGATGGGAGACCACCAGTAAAGCCCAGAGCCGTAGACCAGATTGGAAAACTGAAAAGAACACACAGGAAGAAGGCAATATCAAACCTCTCCTGTACTGTACTCTCGTTAAGAAAATTACACGGACTGTCCCCCCAGAGGTCCAGCTGGATTTGAATCTTTTACCTCTCCTGAAGCCATAATGGATAGATTGGGAGAGTTAGGTAGCTCGCTTAGTTATCCCACTGAACGAATTTTAAAGCACGACGTGCGAACGCAGCTGAAGTTTAAAACGGATCCTAAAACTGGGCCCAGCGTTGATGAGGATTCAAGCCGCGGCCACGAATTTCGCAGAGGTCCCCGAAAGCCCGGCTCCGAGCACGACTCTTGCGTTTTTAGAGTCTACTTTCCGCTAAAGCCGGCGACGAAAGGCGGGCTGCGGCGCATGCGCAGAGGATTTAACCCCTTCAGGCCCCCAGCCCTCCGGGAAGGCTCCGCGCTCTCCTTACCTTCCGGAGCCGCTCGAGAAGGACGCTCTTGTTGCCGCCGCTGTCCAGGTTGCGGTGCTTCAGCTCGGCCCGCAGGTCGATCACCCGCAGGTCGCTCAGGCGCCGCCGCGTCATCCCGCCTCCGAAGCCTTCCGAGCCGCCGCCGCCGCTGAGGGAAACCGTCGCTTCCGCTGCGAGCCCGGCCTGATTCTCCGCCGCCATAAGGGAGGGCTGTGGAGAAAAAAAAATGGCCTCCTAGGCGAAACTTTGGCGCGCGAAAATAATAACTAATTAAAAAAAAATTTAAAACAAGTTTCCGAAAAGGTAACGTCTATGTGGGCGCGCGAGCGCTCCCGGTACGCATAAAATGGCGGGTGATGTCTCTCTGCGCACGCGCAGAATTGGCCTGGAGAGGGATCGTTGCGCATGTGCGCTCTGCTGACGGCCTAATAGGAAGAGGCGTACGGAGCGCATGCGCGACGTGGGAAAGGGCGGAGGAAAGCAAGAGCGGAGAAAAAGCAACGGGTGGGGGCGCATGCGTTCTGAGCATATCTTGGCCCATCACGGATGCGACTGTAAATATAGGAAGTTAAGAATGCACATGTGCGCGAGCATTTTTGATCCAAGGTTGAGTAGGAGATGGCGCACACTAAAAATCGTATTTTAAAAATGGTCAAGCCACTGAATTTCAGAAATAAAAAGAACAGAATCCTTGTAAGCTCACCGATGTTTCGATATATATATATAGAGAGAGAGAGAGAGAGTTTCTCAAACTTTCTGCAATCAAAAATAAACATTCAGAAAATGCAGTATTGCATTTGTACGAGCCTCCTTCCCTCCAGTTTTAAAGCTTTTTTAAAACTAGTCTATACCCCCCCAATCCAAAATTAAGAATGCACGCACTGCTTGAATTATTTCATGTATCTTGTGCAGGAGTCACTCAAGGCCTGTTCAAGTTTTCTGAATCTACGTTGCTGCTTGGATTATCGCTCATACAATTCAAGGAAACCAGGTTCAGACTCCGATCCAGATGTTGCAGCTTGCAGGGACTGAAGCAGTGAGCAGGAGAGGCTGCGGCAGACCCCCAATGAACTTTTGGGGGGACACCCTTTGAGAACCACCATCATCGCCCTGGGAAGCATGAAAAGAAATAAAAATAAATTGCTCCATGGAGATTGCACTTTAGAAACACTCATCAAAACCATAAGAATGTAGTCCTCATTTAGCAACTATCTCAGATAACAACTGTTCACAAATACGATGGTAAATGGTAGTAAAAAAATCATTTTCCAACAATGTGCGCACTTATAACCAAATTTCCGCACCTGTCAATAATGCACACTGGAGTGAGAGTAACACCGGCATTGCTGCACAAGAGAACTTCAAATGAGACAGCAGCAACCAGCCATCTTCACAGTATCTCTCTTTCTCTCTCTCTCTCTCTCTCCGTCATATGGTTAGCTTAGCGACCACTTTGCTAGAGCCAGTTGTGGTCACTAAACAAGGACAGAACTTGGAAGAAACACATTTCAGTTGGAGCTTATGCTCAGAAATGTAATTTTCAAAGCCCATTTCTGCAGAAGAAAGCTTTGCAGAGTTCTTTGGTGTTTCTGAATAAATCTGGCCGCAAAAAAGGGGAAGCGTGCAGTCTTTGCAAAGAAGTCCTATGCATATCAAAAAGTAAAAGACTCCCTCAAGTTGGGCTTGATTCCTGGCGACTTCAGGAACAAATCAGTGCAGTTTTCTTGGCAGCAGGACTGCAATAGTTTGCTGTTGCCTTCTTGTAGGCTCCATTTTGGCTTTCCATTCTAACCTCCTCCCCTTGGGATTTCCTTGTGGTCTCCACTCCTGCTTATTTTTCACAGAAGAAAAGGTAATCCCTCCAGCCAAGCTCAAATTCCGGCCACCTATCCAGGTAGTTTTCTTAGCAACACTACTGAATGGCTGGCTCTTGCTGCCTTCCATTTCCTGGTATTTTCCCAAATACCAACCTTGCTTAGCTCTGCAAGACTGGCCTGGGGGTGGGGGATCTGCTGTGATTTTCCTCCCTGTTGCCCTCCAGAAAGGAACTCCAAAACATCGCTCCCCTCTTTGTACCTCTTCTGATCTCAGCTTCTCAGCGTATCTCGCCTGAAACAAGAACTGCAGCTTTGACAACGAGGTCTGTTGAAGCCTGAGGCAAGTTACTATCTGAGCAATGTCTACGGCACGATGGGCCAAAAAGGGGACAAACTCCTTCAGGTCAAGAATCGCTTTCTGGATTTCAGACACAAATACAACTGCAGCAGGACTACTATGTGCTCAAAAACGGAAAGGTTCGACACTACCCACCGTGGAGGAATGGTTGGTGAAGATGATGGAGCTTGCAGAGATGGCTAAATTAACTTCCTTGATCTGATCAAGGAAGTTAATTTAGCCATCTCTGCAATATCTACATTTATGACTGACTGGAAACCCCTTATTGACCTTTTGCATGAAACAGAAAAAACTGCACTTCTGACTTCTGGTTTTGATGATTAGGGGAAAAAAAAAACAGATAGTAGAAACAAGTTAGCTTTTTTTTGTAACCATAGAGTAAGGGATAATTTTGTAATCATCCTTATATTTGCCACAGAGAAAATCGGAAGCTTCTATTTCTTTTTATTCATTTTTTTTCTTTTTTCCTTCTTTGTTCTTTTTACTCTTTATTAGTTTGTGTTCGTTCTTATGTTCTTCGTAAAACTTTCAATAAAGTTTATTTTTAAAAAAAAGAATCGCTTTCTTGCCTGCAAGGTGGAAGTGGTTTGGCGCAGCCACCTCCCTCGAAGGTTATTTATGAATCCAATTTGTATGCCGCCACAATCACAAGACTCTCGGCGGCTAGCAAGCTATAAAAATCTAATAAAGTGTAAAAAGCTTAAGATAGATAACGTCCAAATAAAAGATATGGCATCAGAGCGCCCTCAAAAACCCTCCAGGAAAGCTCTGTCATCGGCTTTTTCCAGAAGGCATATGATGTTGGGAACAATATTTGTTCCGTTTTGCAGTCTAGCCTGTAGCAGATAAAACAGAAACTTTAGAAGAGTAGGGGCACTCTTAAATTAACCATAATATTAACATAAACATAAGGAGAAACACAGCATAAGAAGAACACTGTGGAGTCCTTGGGGTTCTCTGAGCTTGGTGGTTTTCTTGCAGACATTTTGTTACCCAACTAGGTAACATCTTCAATACTAGAAGGGAGTGGGGTTTGCTCTCTGTTTATGTACAGTGGCTTGTCCTGTCAGGGTTGGTGGGGGAACTGTTTTCTCCTTGGTAGTGCCTAGATTAGGCTGTTGTTAGGCTTGGATTCGGGTTGTTGGCTCGGATTGGATTAGGCTTGGAATTATAAGTACAATCATAAATTTACCTTTATGGTTACAACATAACTCTCTTTTTTCTATCATCTATCCTGTGTAATCACCAAAACCATAAATCTTAAATTCATTTTTTCTGTTTTAGCAAAAAGTCAGTAAGGGGTTTCCAGTCAGCAGTGATCTGGGATCTTTCCATCTTGGTGCATACAATAATCCCACTGCGGTTATCATGTACAAAAATGAAGTTTCATAACTTTTTTCAACTGCTTGTCCATCAGTCCCAAAAGAAAAACCTCTGGTCTAAGTTGTATATTAATCTTTAAAATCCTCTGAATCACTGTACGTATTTGAATCCAAAACTTTCTAGCTCTTTTACCCATTCACCAGGCCTGATAAGATGTCCCTTCTTGTTGTTCACATTTCCAACATAAATTTGAAGTGCCTTTATACATTCTAGAGAATTTCTCTGGTGACATATACCAATGATACATCACTTTATAAACATTCTGTTTAAGGTTATAACATAATGTAAATTTTAAGCCTTTCAGCCACATATTTCCCCATTGTTCCATCTGTATATTATAACCAAAATTTTAGCCCACTTTATCATACATTCTTTTACTTGTTCTTCTTCTGTTTCAAATATCAATAAAAGTGTATACATTTTAGCAATTATATGTTCATCATTTGTACACAATTTCAAACTCAGTCTAATGTTCAAAACCATACATTCTTTTGTCTAAATCTTTCTAATAACTGTAAATAAGAGAACTATTGGCAACTATATCCCTCTGCCACCAGTTCTCTTGATTTTATTTTACATTCCCCTTGACAAAATTATAATATCTTACGATAAGTTAGCCATTTGTGTTTGCCTATTATTTCTCATCTATAAAATA